ATCAGAAACCTAAGCCAGAGGCACCATATGCATTCCAAAGATATACATAAAAGCTCCTTTGATGACCCAAACAACCAGAAATCATTTTAGGAGATGATATTTTAGTGAAACTGCAATTTGATTGTGGTGTTGCTTTCCCTGGTCAAGTAGGGGTCAAGAATGTGTATCACCAGGTAAGACACATGTGGAACTACATATACTCTGGAAATATATATTTTCTTAAATGTTTTTAGTGTTTATTTTTGACAGAGAGAGAGAGACAGAGCATGAGAGGGGGAGGGGCAGAGAGAGAGGGAGACACAGAATCAGAAGCAAGCTCCAGGCTCTGAACTGTCAGCACAGAGCCCGACGTGGGGCTCGAACTTACAGACTGCGAGATCATGACCTGAGCCGAAGTCGGACGCTCAACTGACTGAGCCACCCAGGCACCCCTACACTCTGGAAATATTAACAGGCAGAAAAGAATCTGTTTATCCAAATAGCTCACCTTATTGCTTAGCATCAAGTCACTCGGGAAATATAGTAAAAACTGCCCTTGTATCCTATTGCATCATGGCCGAGTTTAGAATATGCTGAAAAAAGTTAAATGCCTCAAGGAAACGATTAGAAATTATTCCAAAGGCATGATCTGAAGACTTATTTCTGGAAGAAAACTTCTGGTCTCCTAATGTGTTTCTAGTTTCTGGAAAGGGTAGCACACACATTATGTCTCTTTCACAGTGTGGAGTATACCAAGATGACAGCATTCACCATACAATTATTCTTCAGGTCTTTGATATCTGAAAAATCTTCATGTTTGAGTCACTAATTGAGTTTCAGGTAGGAGGGGGTGTGGTTCTAACATCTCACAAAATTGTACTGATTATACTCTTGCTGACTTTAACTTCTTTCACAGGAAAGCTGCCACTGTGACAGTCCTATTGACACTATGAATCCCTGTAATAACTTTTCAACCAACTTCCTGGTCAGTAAAGCCCGAGAAACAAACCTCCTTAATCATGTAGACAGCTTAAAGTATAGAATAAACAAAAAAAGAGGATTCTCAAAATTCCTTGAGATAAGTAGTTTAAGGGCCAATAACAGCTCTTGAGTACCAATGAAAGCATCCACAGTCGACAGGCTACTTCTGTAATTGGGCTATTGTTTTTGTCAAAAGAAACTTCTGAGAGCTTTGTTTGATATGAACATTTTATTGAGCAAGAAACAAAACTCTTCGCAGAGAGATTTCAAGCTAAAAGGGGTTAGGAGCTCAGCTTTTAGCAGTTACAACTCAGTTTATAAAGCATGAATGAGAGAGTACATTGTTGTTTAATGTGTTTGGTAACTAAAAACTTAGTCTTTTTAGTGTAGTAGCACTGTGCAAGCTTAATTGTGTGCAGCTGATTAGCTGGGAAGCTACAAAGTGACACTGACTTGAAAAAAAAGCTCAAGTTTTGCTTTAGGTCAGTCAGTATTTGGGGGAAATCAGAATAGTTTAAGTGTTGGTTATGTGACTATGAGTGCTGGTTAGTCTAGAGATATTTTCAAACTGTGGCCCCCATTTTGTTTTTTCCTTAACAGTTCTTACCAACAAATTATATGGCATAATTCAAGTTCAGGAAGCATTAATTTAGTGTTTGTCAAACAAAGGTTTGTCAAACGTTTATACCACATTATAAATAAAACATCTTCCAATCCCAAAACTGGTACCCCTTATTCTTATGCAATGGATTAATATTTTGTGCCTCTGGAATAATTTTTGTGATACAAAGAGCTTAAGTCATATTGTAAAATAATAGATCCAATTTTGTGAACAGACTCTTGGTCATTTGTTAGTTTGGATCATTGAATTCATCTGGTGTCCAAGAGTTCTATTTCAGGGTGTCTCATATGTCAGAATGAATACAGATAAGCAAAACATATTTATTAAATATTTAAATTGTTTCATTTTAAAACAACATATACTGTATCGGGAATGTACCCTGAGAATATCAGACAATGAAGCAATTAGTGAGAAAAAGCAAATGGCCGAAATGGACATCAAGTCAAGGAGCACTCAACATGAACACTTTTTTTTTTTTTTTAACGTTTATTTATTTTTGAGACAGAGAGAGACAGAGCATGAACGGGGGAGGGGCAGAGAGAGAGGGAGACACAGAATCGGAAGCAAGCTCCAGGCTCTGAGCCGTCAGCCCAGAGCCCGACGCTGGGCTAGAACTCACGGAGTGCGGGATCGTGACCTGAGCCAAAGTCGGCCGCTTAACCGACTGAGCCACCCAGGCGCCCCTTTGAACCACTTTTTAATACATATACTAGAATTATGCTTCAACTTTTTCTAAGCTATAAGCTACTTGAGGGCAATCATGATATCTTTTTTCTCCACACTGTTTGTCATAGTCTTTTATACCCAGAATTATAAAAACAGCTAGTTAGCATTTATTGGATATGTTTCTTAAGCATGCATTATCTCAACAACCTACATGACAATATAATTAGCCCCATTTACAGATCAAGAAATTGAGGCTCACAGAGATTATGTGATTTAATTGAGATTTTATAGTGTCTAAGCGACTGAGCCACCCAGGCGCCCTGAGCCCACTGTTTCAATCGTACTCATTCACACTGTTCCTTTATTGAGCAGTTTAAATATATATTGGCAGAACTGATCAATGCTTTTGTGACTTCTGCAGAATATGGATTTTATTCTGATAACAGAAATCCTTTCATTCAACTCACAAATAAGCCATGAAGAAAAAATAGGAAGTCTCTATATTAATCACCTTATAATCTCATTTGTATAGTACCTCTGAATAAACTTAAGACAATTATCTAAATCCATTTCAGGATTGGGGTGCCTGGGTGACTCAGTTGGTTAAGCATCTGACTTTGGCCTAGCTCATGATCTCGCCATTCCTGAGTTCGAGCCTCTCATCGGGCTCTGTGTTGACGGTTCAGAGCCTGGAGCCTGTTTCAGATTCTGTGTCTCCCTCTCTCTCTCTATCCTTAGCCCACTCACACTCTCTCTCTCTCTCAAAAATACATAAACATTAAAAAAATGATACATTTCAGGATTATTTTGTGTTCTTATGAGGAAAGTATATATTATATGTAGGGAAATAAAATATTAAGACTAGAAGACATTTCCAAAATACTTTTGCAGTCTATATTTTTTAGATAAAGTTTGGTTTGTCTCCTCTTACTTCCCCCTCCTCTCGTTCTTGATCTGATTGTTCCTCTTTAGATATTACATAAAATCTTATGACTTACTGCAGCCAAACCAAAGTATGTCAGTAATTTTAGAGCTCAACATCTTTTCCTTTCTATTATATTGCATAATTCAGTTTTGTATCTAAATATGCTGGCTTTAGTTTTCTAATCACGATTTTGGACTTGTGACTTCATAGCAGGTTTTGTATTCTGGAAGATGAAGTTTTGATGTTTTCAACTTCCTGCGTAAAAGAACTTAAATGGGTAAAAAATGCAGTATGGACATCAAAATATTGGATTATCAAAACATTCAATGTCAATATTTAAACATATAATTTCAAATTAAGGCAGTTTCTGGAAAACTAACTCCTAACAGTAAACCAAAAGGAAGTATTTTGCCTCTGTTTAATTTTCATGAAATTAAAGTGAAGAATACAGAAAAATTTAACCATTGGGGAAACATTTTCTTCCCTTGGCTCTTATGACACTCTCTTCATTTTCCCTTCTCATTCTCCTTTAGTGGGTCCTCCTTTTCTCTCCATCTCTTTATGCAGGATCGTTCCAGTGTTCAGTCCTTGGTCCTCTTCTTTTTTTCAGTTCTTTATCCACACTCACTGTAATGATTCGAAATACTATCTATATTCCAATGACTCCTACATTTTTATCTCTAGTCCATACCTTTGTCTCCTGCTGCAGAATCATACATCCCAACCAACAACAACAATCAGTTGACTACTAAGTGTCTCAAACTCAATGATTTCCAGAACTGAAATCTTGATCTTACCCTTCAAATTAGCTCTACCTTAAGTCTGTCTCATCTCAAATGATGATAGCCCCATCCTTCCAGTTGCTTAGTTCAAAAGTCTTGAGGTCATCTAAACTCTTCTCGTTCTCTCATGCACTTCATTCAATCATCAGGAACTATACCTTGCAAAAGAATCTGATCACTTCTCACCACCTCCATTAGAACCACTCTGGTTCAAGCCACTTGTCATTTCTCCCCTCCTTCACTTTCCTTCCCCTAAAGTCTATTCTCCAAAGAAGGGCTTGGATGATACTTTCAAAATGTAAGTCAAATCGTGTCATTTCTTTTCTCAAAATCCTCCAGGAAATGTGCATCTCACATAAAATAAAAGCCAAAGCTCTTACAAAATCTTACACAATCTCTTACTTCTAAACCCTTCCCCTACCCACTGTCCTCCTTTCTCATATTACTCCTGGCTTCCACAGTTTCCCAAACGTACCATGCTTGCTGCAGTCTAGGAGTCTTGGAATTGTATGTTTCCGTTGCATGGACAGCTTTTTTCCTAGATAAAAGCTTTACTCAGATGAGCAGCTCTTTTCTCAAATAACTGAATAGTTTATCGGTTACCTCTTTCAAATCTTTGCTCAATGTAACTTTTTCCAGAAGGCTTCTCTAACAATCCTATTTAAAAGCTGCAACTGCCCCTCTACCCTCTCTTCTTCCTTTATCCGGTTCTATTTTTTCCTTGCCATGTGTTACTTTATAGCTCATCACATTATTTGTGTGCTCATTTCAGGTCTTTCTCCAGTAGAATGTAAATTTTATACAGCAAAGACTGTTTTGTTTCAGTATTTTGAGGATTCGGCAGATAGCAGATGCTTAATAAAGACTTCTGCGAACTCATCACTCCACTATTCATACAGCTGGGCAGCCCCCCTAAACTTTCCTCAAAACTAAATTTCAGCACCTTCTAAAACTGCTGAAGCTCACAATGTAGTCCACGTTTTTCTTTAAGAACTTCCTGACCCCGGAAGTAAAAGACTAGGTAAGGGAGTCGGAGGGGTAAGCTATTTCCGTTTCCGTACAGACGCTACGGAGCAAACACCATGGCGAAGGCCGGGGATAAGAGCGGCACTAAAGGAAAGAAAGGCCTGAAGCGGAAAGCAACCGCCGAAGAACCTCAAGAGGCCGCAGTCGCTGAGGATGGGGCGACGGAAAGCGGGGTCCAACCCCCGAAAACGGCTGCCTTTCCCCCAGGCTTCAGCATTTCGGAAATTAAGAACAAACAACGGCGACACTTAATGTTCACGCGGTGGAAACAGCAGCAGCGAAAGGTATGACGGGGCCGAGGCTGCAGGGCGCATGCGCTGCATCCGCGCGCGCGCACGACAGTGGGGAAGGGAATAGCACTTGCGTGGTGGCCGTGGCTTGGCGTCCCGGAGGCGGTAATTAATCTAGAAGGATGACGCTGACGTTCTAATGTCCTGGTCCCCTCGCACTGCTTTGGGGATTCTGTCTAGGTTCAGCTTTTTGCCTGAGCGACGAGGATTCTCTTCCTTTCCAGCCCCTGCCTACGTTCCCTGGCTGAGAATGAAAGCAAGAAGTCCCGCTCTCCTAGCAGTGGGGAAAAAAAACCAAAAAAAAAAAAAAAAAAAAAAATCCCCCTCCTGACCTGGAAGGAGAAAGTCTCCCATCTCTGTGCTTCGACCCGTGCACCTAACGTTGGCAAATTTCTAGAGCCTGTAATACAGGCAGTACGTGAATCCAGTGATGCTTTTCTGATTCCTGGGCAGCAACTCTTACCTAAAGTATTTCTGTGAAGTTTCTGGTAATTCTATTTGTAGCGTTGTCCTCATACTGTTCTAGGAGATAAACAGATATGAGGAGATAAACAAAGCTCAAGATCACAGTGCTTATTTGTGGTTACGTTGCACTCGGAAGCAAGCATTTGTTTATTCCTGTACATCATAAAAGTTCCCGCACATAATATTCTTTTTACTTGCCTGTCTCCTCTTATTAGATACTACATCTTTTGAGGCCCTGAATAGTGCCTTACTCATAAGCGCCAGAGTGCTTTTGGAGTACGTAGAGAATCTAACTCATTCTGGTGAGCGCGTTTGCGGGAAGGGCCTCCTCGAAGACTTCTTAACACTATAATGTGAGATTTGACGTATGGAGGGTCTACAGGCGTTGGGGGAGGAGGGCGTGGCCGGGAGAGCACTTTCTGTGTGTGTAAGTGAGCATTCTGTTCAGAAATTTCCAGCAGGTACAAATTTACAGTACAAATGTAACTCACTTTGCAAGTCCTTAATAATCTTAAAAGCATATTTTGATTGTAAAATTTATAACTAATGGTGGTTTATTGGAAGCAATCTGAAAACGCATCTCCCATTCTCATTTACTTGTAGTATTTTCCAAGAGAAGCAACCGGCATAGCCATCATGGTTTTCTTGAGAATGCAACTTGTTAGGAATGCAAAATAAAACAGCCACAAAAACGTGTTAACTAGTTTAGATGGGCGTTTCACATTTTCACTTAATTTGAGGCTTTACAGTAAGATAAAAAGTAAAAGGTAAAAAGGCAAACTTTAAATATTCATACTAGCCAATTTCAGTTTTTTGAAGGAGAAAGACCTTTGTTTATTGATTAGCCAGCTTATTTGGTTTACAATCACTTTGGTATGAAAGTCTGTGTCAGGGTGTTTGCTTTAATGCGATACAAAGATTGCTGAGATAAAGTGGCCGTAGCATTAGTAATGTGTAGTTTCAGTATGTGTTTGTGATATAACTGATGGTTTCTCAATATTTTTCTGTTTTGTTTTTTTTTTTAAACCTTTTAGGAAAAGTTGGCAATTAAGAAAAAACTTAAAAAAGAGAGAGAAGCTCTTGGTGATAAGGTAAATAACATTTTTAGCCACCTGCTTTCTGTCTTATGTTGAGTAATGCTCCCTTATGTTTATGTTGTATCGCTTTCTTTTAAAACTTACTATAAAATATTTCCAGTGTATAAAAGATATGAAAATAAAATAACAAACCCCTTTCCATTCATTACCTAGCTTAGAAAACATTGCATTAGCAAATAATTTTCGAAGTCCTTTGGATGCTTCTTACTGATTGCTTTCCCCTCCAAAGCCAACCACTTATGAAATTGCCATTTTCTTGTTCCCATGCATTTCTTTCTTATCTTTAGGTTTGTGTCCCTAAACAATGAACACAATAGTGATGTTTTGCATTTTTTTCAAAATTTCATGTAAATGGTATGTCTACTGTAACTTGCTTATTTTACTTCATTTTACATGTTTGAGAGATAGAGACTTAGCTTTCTGACTTTGGAAAGCTTTTGGGGAAGCTTCCCAGTTTAGGCCTGTGGTTGGAGTTTTTGTGACTTGGAGCAAAGGCTCTTGGGGAAAGGCAGGATGCAGCCTGTTCTATTGTAGGATTGAGGTGTGTAGGAATGAAAGCTGATACACAGGATATTAACCCTTTGAAGACTGAGAATGGCAAGCGGGAGGAAAGTGAGATACTTGGATGGACTATGGCAAAGAAGAGAGTAAAGATAATACATCCAAAAACGATTTGGCTACTTTTGTGATATTGATAAGAAATGAAGTCTACTGAAAATTTTTAAAAGGACTGCTAAATACATCCACAACTAAGCTGTTTTCCTTTAATTTTATTTATAGCTAGTGTTAGATTTTGACTTATGCTTGCAAAATTTTTAGAACATACAACTCTTCCTCCTCTACTGTCTCTTAAGATAAGGTACCAAGGAATGATAAGCATTTTTGAGGAAAATGAAAAATGTAAAGATTATATGCAAACTAAACACTCTGCCTTTTCATGCCTTCTCTTAATAGGACTAGGTTAAATCACATGAAATTGCCAGTTTTAGACTGTTTTAACCTGCAGAATTCTATCAGCAGTTATTCTCTTTTTTTTTTTTTTTTTTTTTTAATTTTTTTCAACGTTTATTTATTTTTGGGACAGAGAGAGACAGAGCATGAATGGGGGAGGGGCAGAGAGAGAGGGAGACACAGAATCGGAAACAGACTCCAGGCCCTGAGCCATCAGCCCAGAGCCTGACGTGGGGCTCGAACTCACGGACCGTGAGATCGTGACCTGGCTGAAGTCGGACGCTTAACCGACTGTGCCACCCAGGCGCCCCTCTCTTTTAACTCTTAGTAACCAGCCAGTTATAGCAAATATGCCAATCGCCTTTGGATATATCACCATTCTTGTTTTTGGAGTGAAAAAATGAATTCCTAGAACTGCCTCCTTTAAAAAATTACTTAAAACTTAGTATTTGTTTCATAAAGTAATAAGAAATGAAATCCTAAAGAGTTTAGCAGTTCTTATTTCTTCCTATCTCTGCTAACATTCAAAACCACATGTTTTGAATTTGTTTTAGTCAGTATATGCTTACAGTTCTGTATTCCTGCTCTGTAGCATTTCATTTACACAGTTTTTTGGTCTAAGCTGAGTATACATGATTGCCAATTCTAATAATATTCCATTATGTTGAAGTGTCACAGTCTTTAGCCTGTTTTTGGATGTTTGCTGTATTTGCTGTTCATAAATTGCTTCTCTCTTTCATACCTTACCATAAATGCCTCAAACTGGAATTACTAGTTCAGCAGATAGATTTGTAGCTTTGGTTATTTATTTCTGGTGTTTTTTAAATTTTAATTTTAGAGAGAGTATGCATGTATGCATGCGTGTGGGGAGAGGGACAGAGAGAGAGAGAGAGAGGAGAATCCCAAGCAGGCTCCATGCTTAGCGTAGAACCCCACATGGGCTCAATCCCTAGTCCCTGGGATCATGACCTGAGCTGAAATCAAGAGTTGGGCGCCCAACTAACTGAGCCACCCAGGCAACCTTTGTTATTTATTTCTGAAGAGCTTTCTGAAAGCATTGGAACAAAGCTCCATATATATGTACCTTTTGTACATTTGACTCTTGAACAACGTGGGGTTTGGGGTGCAGAATACCAACTCTACTCCTGCACACGTGAAAATCCCATACCCTACTATTGGCCTGAAATCTTACTGATAACATAAAGTGAATTAACACATATTTATGTGTTATATGTATTATATACTGTATGCTTACTATAAATTTTTTTTTAATGTTTCCTTTTGAGAGAGAGAGAGAGACAGAGCATGAGCAGGGGAGGAGCAGAGAGAGAGGGAGACACAGAATCCGAAACAGGCTCCAGGCTCTGAGCCGTCAGCACAGAGCCCGATGCAGGGCTTGCACTCACAAACTGTGAGATCATGACCTGAACTGAAGCTGGACGCTCAACCGATTGAGCCACCCAGGCGCCCTTGTATGCTTACTATAAAATAAGCTGGAGAAAATATTATTTGGAAAATTATAAGAGAAAATACCCTTATAGTATTGTACTATAAAAAATGCACATATAAGTGGGCCTGCACAGTTCAAATCTATGTTGATCAAGGGTCCACTATAATTTTTCCAATCTATTTGATATTTTTCTTAGTGTATAATTACTTTGATCACAGTTTCTTCTTTCTGCTACTTCTGAATGGTTTTAGACCATTTCATTCAGTTAGCAATTCTTCCAGTATGTTTAGGTCTCTGCTTAAAGTTAAAAAAAAAAAAAAACCTCTTAGTATTATTGTTAGGATTGATACAGCAATGGAAATGAGGAACAGATTGAGGCTTTGGATTATTTACAGATTTCTGTTACTCTTCCCTAACCCAACTGCAAAATTATTAACGTAAAATCCTTCTAAAACTTAATCTGTTTTTTTTTGTTTTTTTTTTTTTAATTTAGGCTCCACCAAAGCCTATACCAAAGACCATTGACAACCAGCGAGTGCATGATGAAACTATAGTAGACCCTAATGATGAAGAGGTAATGTTGGAAGTCTTAAATAAATTTGGATGACCACATTTGACAAATTATTTGTTCATATGTTGATATTTAAAGTACTGGCTGGTGAAGTTGTATAATGGACTGATTCAGCTATAATGTTGGTATATTATTTGCTATAGATTGTTTCATAACTGAATTTCTCAATAATGCTATAGGAAAAACTCTGATTCCACTCATTTTATAGAAATGTATTATATTTTATGACCAGGTAAACTTTTTGTCATTTAATTTATAGTACTTCTGTTGTTTTTAATATCATTTCTCATTATAGAGTTTTATAGTACTAGAAATTTTGATATAAGGATAACATTTGATATTTTTTGTGTCCTCATAAAACTCTTGGTTTCAGGATAATCATCCACTTTTCACTTTTCACATTTCCCTTTAAATAGTTTGTTACAGTATGGTGAGAGAATCAAGTTTTAAATTTTTTTTGTGTGTGTGCAGGGAATTTGGTTTTGGTTATGTTTGTTTGCTTTCAAACCGTACTATTATTGACATTCTTTCCTATTTCCTCATATAGTCATTCATTCAGTCAGTCAGTCAGTCAGTCTTCTAGCAAATGTTTATTGACTGCCTGCTGTGTACTGGGATCTGTTTTAGGAACTTGGCATCTGTCAGTGCACCAAGCACCGTGCCACATATACACACAAAATATCAGCCTTTTTCTGGGCTATTGGTCAGTTTGGTCAGTTTGTCACTGTATCACTTCTTTATTTTTATAATTATTTATCTTCATGGTAAGTTTATCTGTTAGAGCAAGATGCCCCTCCCCACATCCATCCTCAAATTTCTCTTCAGGAATGTTCATTCTCTTTTTGGACCTTTGGTCTGCCATATAAAATTATAAAAATTGTATTAAAGTAGATCACTCAGGGGATCTATTTGTATATTGCTCTTTTTAGGTCTTTAAAAATGTGATTCAGTGAATTTTATAATTCTCTTCATGCAAGGTGTACATATAAATCTTTTTAGAGCTATTGATGGCTATCTTATGTTTTTTATCAGTGTAAATCACCTCATTGAGAATTGTTTTATTTGCTGATTTATAAAAATACAATTGATTTTTGGACTGTGATCTTCTAAACAGTAGATCACCTAGATTCGTCTCCAATAATTTGTCTAAATATTGTTTTCATTTCATGTTTAGCTAATCATTTCTACAAATAACTTTCAATCCATTAATCATTTATTTCTTTTGTGCTGACTAGAGCCTCCAGCATAATGTGAAACAAATAGAAAACGCAATAGTGACATCTGTGCCCTGGTCCTGGTTTTAAAGAGAATACTTCTAACATGCCATCTTTAATGTTTGTGTCATTAATGGTAGATCTCCTTATATGTTAAGGAAAATCTGTTTCTTTTTTTGCTGCGGGGAGGGGGGTGTTTGTTTATCATGAATGAATGTGAAACATTATCAAATGCTTTTTCTGAAAATAGAGATAATTATGTACTTTTTCTGCAAATATTGAGATAAATATGTAGTTTTTCTCCTTTATAGTACCAATGTAGGAAATGAAATGGATCTTCTAATGTTAAATCTCTTTTGCATTCTTGGGGTAAATACAATTTAATTACAATGTTTTATCTTTTACACGTTTTGGTTTGTCAGTACTTTGTTTAGAATATGTACATCTATGTTTATAAGTGAGACTGCAGAAATGTCCCTTTCCATTCCTAATATTATTTATTTGGGCTTTTCACCAGAGATACATCTATTTTGTGACTCTTTTTCAAACTACTTTTTTCTTTGATCATCTCTTGAAATTTTGTTTTCTAATTTATTTATATCTCTCCTTATCTTTATAATTTATTTCCTGTTACTCTGTTGAGTTTATTCTTCTTATTTAACTCATTTTTCATCTTCCTTTCTATTTCTTCCTTTCTATTGTGAGCAATTAAGGCCACAAAATTCCCTGTAAGTACCACTTTTGGTATATCCCACAAGTTTTAAGATGTGTTTCTTCATTATTATGCAAATCTAAGTATCTCCTTTAATGGGAGATTTGTTCATTTCTTCTGGTAATTTCTTTTTTTTTTTCTTTGCTTGACGTTTATTTCATTGTTTTCCCCCGGTTCTTATTATATTGTTTATTTTACTTATTTAAGGTTTCATTTATTCTTCTTTTTCTAGTTTCTTAAAATGGGAGCTTACGGGGCGCCTGGGTGGCGCAGTCGGTTAAGCGTCCGACTTCAGCCAGGTCACGATCTCACGGTCCGTGAGTTCGAGCCCCGCGTCAGGCTCTGGGCTGATGGCTCAGAGCCTGGAGCCTGTTTCCGATTCTGTGTCTCCCTCTCTCTCTGCCCCTCCCCCGTTCATGCTCCGTCTCTCTCTGTCCCAAAAATAAATAAACGTTGAAAAAAAAATTAAAAAAAAAATGGGAGCTTACATTACTGATTTTATACTTTCTTTCTTTTTAATATAATCTGATAAAGCTATCATTTTCCTCCAAAGCACTGCTTTAGCTACATCTCATACCTTTTGATATGTTTGTTGTGTTTTCATTTTCATTCTGTTCAAGATATTTTCTAATTTCTCTTGTTATTTCTTCTTTGGCTCATTGATTATCAAGTATGTTGTTTAATTTCCAAATATTTGAGGATTTCCCACATATATTTCTGCTGTTGATTTCTTTTTTTTTCAACGTTTATTTATTTTTGGGACAGAGAGAGACAGAGCATGAACGGGGGAGGGGCAGAGAGAGAGGGAGACACAGAATCGGAAACAGGCTCCAGGCTCTGAGCCATCAGCCCAGAGCCTGACGCGGGGCTCGAACTCACAGACCGCGAGATCGTGACCTGGCTGAAGTCGGACGCTTAACCGACTGCGCCACCCAGGCGCCCCTCTGCTGTTGATTTCTAATTCAATTTTATTGTGGTTCTGGAACATACTCTGTTTGATTTTAGTCCTTTTCAAGTAAAGAACTGTTCTGTGTTTTAGGATAAGATCTATTCTTGAAAATGTTCTGTGTTCCTTTGGAAATGTATATTTTGCTGTTTTGAAGTATATTAAGAGTTGTTTTAAGTTGTTTGATTGTGGTGTTCATGTTTTCTATATTCTTGCTGAATTTTCTATCAGTTACTGAGAGAGGAGTATTGAAACCTCAAACTATAATTGCTGAATTATTCATCTCTTCTTATTCAGTTGACCCTTAATCCAGTGTCCCATATTGTCCCATCCCTTCGATTGTCCATAGCCATATTTCTTAATGTCTATTTTGTTTCATATACACATAGCCACCTAAACTCTTTTGTGGTTACTGTTTACATGGTATATCTTCTTTTTTCATTTTTTACTTTCTTCATTTCTTCTTTTTTACTTTCAACCAGTTTATATCTTTGAATTTAAAGTGTCACTTACAGGGGCATCTGGGTGGCTCAGTCAGTTAAGTGTCAGACTTCAGCTCAGGTCATGGTCTCATTGTTTGTGAGTTCGAGTCCCACATTGGGTTCTCTGCTGTCAGTGCAGAGCCTGCTTCGGATCCTCTCTCCCCACCCCTACCCCTGCTCTCTCACTCTCTCTCAAAAATAAACATTTAAAAAATAATAATAATAAAGTGTCACAGATGTTGCTTTTTTTATTCAGCCTGACAATTAGTATGTATTTTTTAATTAAAAAAATTTTTTAATGTTTATTATTTATTTTTGAGAGAGAGAGGGACAGAGTGTGAGTGGGGGAAGGGCAGAGAGAGAGGGAGACACAGAATCCGAAGCAGGATCCAGGCTCTGAGCTCTCATCACAGAGCCCAACGCGGGGCTCAAACCCATGAACTGTGAGATGATGACCTGAGTACAAGTCAGATGCTTAACTGACTGAGTCACCCAGGCACCCCTGACAATGAATATTTAATGTTAACTATTGATGTAGTCATATTTACATCTGCCCTTTTACTTTTTTTCATTACATGTTATATATTTTTTAATACTTTTTTTTAATGTTTATTCTTGAGAAAGACAGAGACAGAGCATGAGTAGGGGAGGGGCAGAGTGAGAGAGAGACACAGAATCTGAAGCAGACTCCAGGCTCTGGGCTGTCAGCACAGAGCCCGACACGAGGCTCAAACTCACAAACCGTGAAATCATGACCTGAGCTGAAGTCAGATGTTTAACTGAGCCACCCAGGTGCCCCACTATATTTTATACCTTTATTCTGTTTCTCCTTGGCTTTCTCTTATATTAAAAAAATATTTTTATTATGCTATTTTAATACCTCTTAATCTTTTAAGTTATATATTTAAGGGTTTTCTTAGTAGTTTCTGTAGGAATTACAGCATGCATCTTTAATTTATCACAGTGTACTTCCAGCACATACTGACATGATTCTGGTAAATACAACAGGTTTCCACCAGCATAGCTTTGTTCCTTCACTCTTGTTCATGCTGTTGTCATATATAACATTTGTCTGTGTTATAAATCCAGTGTTGTAATTTCTGCTTTAAAATATCTCATTGTTCGGGTGCCTGGGTGGCTCAGTCGGTTGAGCGTCCAACTTCAGCTCAGGTCATGATCTCGTGGTTTATGAGTTCGAGCCCCGCGTCGGGCTCTGTGCTGATAGCTCAGAGCCTGGAGCCTACTTCGGATTCTGTGTCTCCTCCTCTTTCTGCCCCTCCCCTGCTCAATGCTTTGCTTTGTCTCTCTGTCTCTCAATAATAAATAAACGTTAAAAAAAATTTTTTTTTTAATATCTCATTGTTTTATAAAAAAAGAAATTTACACATACAACACACACAAAAAGTCTTTTATAGTTAACTTCGTGTTTACCATTTACAGTGCTTTTCTTTCCTTTCCTTGGATCTAAGTTACCATCTGGTGTCATTTTCTTTCAGCTTGTAGGATTTCCTTAAATTTTTTTTTTTTTTAGGTTTGTTTATTTTTGAGAGAGAGAGTGGGTGTGCATGAGCATGAGTGGGGGAGGGACAGAGAGAATCCCAAGCAGGATCTATACCGTCAGCACAGAGCTCTAAGTGGGGCTTGGTCCCACAAACCGTGAGATCATGACCTGAGCCAAAATCAAGAGTTGGACACTTGATTAACTTGAGCCACCCAGGCACCCCGGGAGATTTTTACTCTTATCTTTGGTTTAAAGTATTTTTTAGGTTATTTGCTTGGGGAAGAAATAGATCCCAGGCTCTGAAGTTTGGCGAAATCATTCTGACCTTGGTAAAAGTATAACTTCCTTGGGAGCCCAGGAGCAAGGCCCACAAACATTAAAAGTTGAATTTCCTTTAACAGCACTGTGTCTCCACTTGTTTGTTTTATTGTTATTTTTAACCTGCCTCCTGAGTGATCGTCCTTGTGTTTGTGTGGCTCAATCGTAAGTCAGTGATTCGGGCAGAGATTGTGTTGAGATACCTTGAGCCTCTGAGCCCCTATCAACTGAGCTACCTGTGGGTTGAGGACTGCATTCAAAGTTGCAACCAGTTTTCAAGTCTCCCTCACCTTTTGTGTGCACTGGTTTTTTAGGTCTGTCCCATGTATAGTTCAGCTGTCAGCCAGGGATTTGTAGAGAGATTATCTCAGCTCCTCTATGGCTCTTACATTTCCAGAGCTCTCCTTTGAATTTCTGGCTGATCCGCACCTACCCTGAACTGGCTCAGTAACTCTAGACTGGCAAAGCTAGGGTTTTCAAACCCACCTCTCCCCAAATCCAGTTTACCACCTTTGATTCAAGATTGCTGGTTCTTGCCTACCATCAGACCTGAAGTTGATAAAGTTACTATTTTTGTAGCCATGTTTATGGAAGAAATGGAATAGTTCTAAGGAAGATTCCTGATGTTCTTGCCCACAGCCCTAGCCATTTTTCAAGAAAAAACAGCTCAGTTTGTGTCTTGAAATTGTTTTTGACAGTTTTTTCCAGTTTTATACTTGTATTCTACAGGTAGAAAATCACCCAACCTCTTTATGTCACCATTAATATAAGTCCCTCCTGGCTGTCTTCAAATCCCCTATCAGCCAGGAAGGAGGTCAGTGTCATAGGATCCTGCTGGAGCTACTTTTAAAATTCTGGCCCAGTAGAGTGTTTGATATAAAATTATCCTTTTTCTGTTCACAGGTTGCTTATGATGAAGCTACAGATGAATTTGCTTCTTACTTCAACAGACAGACTTCTCCCAAGATTCTCATCACAACATCAGATAGACCTCATGGGGTAAACATATCTATCAGTGTAGTTATTGAATTCTTAATTTTCTTACATTACTTAGACTATTTAAAAGAATTCTTTTCAGAAGATCTGAGTTAATTAGTAATTTAATAGATAATGCCTGTGAGTAAGCTAAATAAAATGAATACTGGTGATGTGATGTAGGTTCTCTAAGCATGATTCTTCAGGATAGGGTTTATCAACCTCAACACCATTAGCATTTGGGGCTGGGTAGTTTTTTATTATGGGGGTTGCCCTGCTCATTAGAGGATATTTAACGGTATCCCTGGCCTCTACCCACTAGATACCACTACCAGCTGTCCCCTACTATTACCACCAGTCATAACCACCAAAAAATGCTTCTAGATATTGTCAAATGTCCTCTAGTGGGGCATAATCACCCCCAGTTGAGAACCACTGCTTTAGGATGGTCAGTCTTTGATAAAGGATTAAATACTGTTCAGATTTCATTTTTTTCCCTACCCTTGTTCTTTATTAATAACACATATTAATCATTGCTCCTTTCTTTATTAATGTATACCAACTTAAAATTTTTATTCCTTTTCACCTCAGAAGATTTCTGTTATTTTGTTTTGCAGAGAACAGTACGACTCTGTGAACAACTCTCCACAGTTATACCAAATTCACATGTTTATTACAGAAGGGGATTGGCTCTGAAAAAAATTATTCCACAGTGCATTTCAAGAGATTTCACAGATCTGATCGTTATTAATGAAGATCGTAAAACACCAAGTATCCTTTCTTTATTAAAGCTTTCCTGTCTCACCTTCACCCCCTTTTAAAACATATTTAAAAGAATAAGGAAATGTTTTCTATAACTTTCAGAACATAATTTTTTAAACAAGAAAATTATGTATCTCTATTCAAGAATCTATAAACTATTTTTTTCATTTAGCAAATATTCATTCAAGCAAATGCTATAGGCAAGACATTACTTTAGTCCTTAGTAAAAGATGCAGAGATAAACAGGAGCCTTAGGGAGTTCATAATCTAGTAGGAGAAAATAGAAATGTAAACTAACAAATATGTAGAGTGGGTAGTACAGTTAAAGAGAAATACAGGATACAGTGCACACTCTGGTAAAAATCTGCCCTGGGGATATCAGGGAGGAAGGACTTGACTGGAAAAAATGCTTAACTCAGTTTGGTGAGTATGGGCGAATGAGGTGAATAAGGCAGAGGAAGAGAGCCCAGTGCAGAGAGACCATTTGTAACGGCAGAGGCATTAAGGAGCAGACCCAGTTGGGGATCTGCAAGTAGTTTGATATGGCTAGATTTTATGTTACCAGAGGTGGTATCACAGGATTACATTTTTGAGGCAGATATGAGCCCATTTTATGTATTTACTGCTGTTTCAGATGCCAAGAATACTCTATCCTTTTTCTGTGAGTCTCAGATCCTAGGTGACTGTGTCACTTGAAACCAAGGTATTTTTTACTGTTTGCAGAAATTAGATCATATAAAGAATGCCTATATTTGTTGTTGTTGCTGTTGTTTTACTTATTTATCAAATTGTGGCTGTGAGATCACTAATTTTAAAGATGATCAACTGAATGGGTCAAGTTCTTAAAATTATTAAGGATTCATAAAAAATAGGGACAGGAGTTTCCTGCTGCCAGGATAACTTTTTTTTTTTTTTTAAATCAATGAACACTGCTTTAAAAAAAAATGGTGTCAAAGCTATTTTTTAAAAATCTAGATAACTTTTATGGTTTTTACTATTTTCAATAGAAGTTAAAGACGTTATCCACTTGTACGAGTTGCTTTCTAGAGACTAAAATAGAGTAGAGCTAGCTTTGTAATGTGATGTTTTTTTGGCCATATTATAATTTGGCTTGGATTGTGGGTTAATGTACCAAAATAACTAAAATCTCTTGAATACTTAACTATTTCAGAAGAGGTCTGTTTTTAAAAATGTAGTTGCTGCCTTCTTAAAACTACCTCCCAAAATAAAGTGGCAAGGTCTGTGTTCCTCTTTTATTTTTGGCAGTTAAAAAAACCATCATTATTTTAAGGCTGCCAGCAGGTATTCATCAATTGAATAAACATTGTATCCTTGTTTTATCTGAGCTATTTTATATGGATACTGCGTTTCACTTACACCATCTATTGCCTTTAGAAAGCTATGTTCTCTTTTCCTTATAAAATTGTATTGTCTTTTTACTCAAAATGTATTAATATTTTTCTGATTACCATATTGGACACCTTGTAGGGTAAGTTAACCATTAGATTAAGATACCATCAGTACACAGACCAAATTTATATTAAGGAAATAACTAGGCTAATGAAGTAATCCAAATATGAGATTGCTTCTCCTATACATGTAACTATATATGCACACAGGTGTGTATGGGTGTCCCAGGATTATAAGTTTTGAGTATAGAATTATGCAGCAGTTTCTAAAAGTCCTAGTGAATAGAGTTTGTATCAGTATAATCCTGCCTCGATGTTGATTTTTATAATTTCAGAGATATTTCATTTTCTTTTCTAATTGATATCTAGTAATGAGTTAATGGCAAATTATTGGTGAAACAAGCTAGGAAAGCAGACCTCCTAAATTGCTTTTGTGTTCTCTGTTAACAGAGAATGGTCTTCAAGACTAATGAGGAGATTGCTGGGGGGCCCTGGAAGTCCATCTTGGATAAAAAGTTTGTAAGATAAGGCCTAGAAACTCTGAATAAGCTCAGATATCCTGGCTTCAAAGACTATGTGCACAAACTTGTAAAGGAGACTTTGCTACTCTGGGGGAAGATACATGAGACAGGCAAGTGGAGGAAGGAGGGAGAAAGAGGACTGCTAGTTAATATATGCCATGATCCAGAAAAAAACGTCAAATAATTAAAGGGAGACTAATTTGTAAGCACATAATAGAAATGGTGTATGATTCCTAGGGACTTAACATGGGCTTACAAATAACAAATCATGACCCCTAATGATGACACTTGGAGAAAACTTGAAAGAATTGAGGATGTACAGCCTTTGGGAAATTAGAATATGGGGCATGACAAGATACGGAAGGGCTGCTGTGTAAAAGAGTAGTGCCAAATGGTGGGAATGGCTTATAAATTTTCAACTTAACTCTAGAAAAGAGCTTTGTCAACTATCTAAACTGAGTCTGGTGGCTTTGGGTCAGGCAGATGTAATGTTAAAAAAAATTTTTTTTTTTCAACGTTTATTTATTTTTGCGACAGAGAGAGACAGAGCATGAACGGGGGAGAGGCAGAGAGAGAGGGAGACACAGAATCGGAAACAGGCTCCAGGCTCTGAGCCATCAGCCCAGAGCCTGACGCGGGGCTCAAACTCCCGGACCACGAGATCGTGACCTGGCTGAAGTCGGACGCTTAACCGACTGCGCCACCCAGGCGCCCCAGGCAGATGTAATGTTAAATACAGACTCCATTACATGTGACTTTTGTCAAGTTTCTTAGCCACTTGGTTTCCTCATCTTTTAAAATAGGAAATGATACCTAAATCTTCAGGTTTCCCACAAAGACCACATTAAATGTATTGTGTTTCTTTTTTAAATTTTTTTTTTAATGTTTATTTACTGTTGAGAAAGTGAGACACAGAGTGTGAGCAGGAGAGGGTCAGAGAGAGAGGGAGACACAGAAAATGAAGCAGGCTCCAGGCTCTGAGTTATCAGCACAGGCCCCATGCGGGGCTCAAACTCACAAATGGTAAGATCACACATGAGCTGAAGTCAGGCGCTTAACTGACTGAGCCACCCAGGTGCCCCTAAGGTATTATGTTTCTTAAGGCATAATACCTTAGTCCTGTTGTGGGCATTTTAGTAAATGTTATGGTATAGGAGAAAGCACGGAAGTTTTTCCTGGAGACACCTAACATCTTCTATTGATTATTTCTAAATGGAAATTTGAGTTAGGTACGTCTTTGTCCTATACTTTTGGCAGCTTGTAGGCTGTTTTGCTTTCTTGGCCTTTGGGGACTAAACGTCCTTTTTGCCTCAGTCATCGTAACAAAATACCTGTATGCATTAGGGCTTGGGCACAGGTGTAGTCCCACCTGTTACGATCTGCCACCTAGCTCTGAAATTTGAGCTTATCTACCTAACCTTTCTCAACCTCTTTTCATTGTTACTAATAGGGATAATGAACTCCTATTCTTCAGGATTTATGTTAGGAATTAGTTAGGAATTTATGTTAGGAATAAGTAAAGCTTTTTGTACAATGTGGGTACGTAGGAAAGGATTATTTTGGATTTTATAGTTTTGACAGAAACCACAATTGAGTTGCAATGTCCTAGAAAGTTGGGGATCTGCAATTTGTTTGATATTGCAGATTTGATTTAGGTTGGAAGTGTTGATTTAGGTTGGAAGAAATTACCTTTACCTCTCTTAGCTCCCATGAGTGTGATTTTTTTCTATGTGCAAATGATCCAGAAATACTTTTGGCTGTACCTCAAGAAGTTGAACCTGTGACGAATTTTTGAAAAGAAGGAAATTTTGAAAAGAAGGAATTCAAACATTACTGATAATCTGGTATGTGGTAGGCACTAGTATTTATCAGAAACAAATGTATCTTCCAAAAGTTAACAGATTAGTTGGGAAGAAAGTCATTTACATAATTATAACTCAAATCAGTGACAAGTACTATATATAGTTAAGTAACAGTGACAGCTGAGATTTAAAGCTTAATGTTAACTGTGTAAAAAGAGGTGGCATTTGAAGTGAGCCTTAATAACAGTACTGCCCTTCTTGGTCAAGCTTGTGTGAATCCCAAGGCGGCAAGCCCCTTCCCCAGTAAACCAACAGAAACCCCCGCCCATACCACATCTCCCTATCTGATTGCTCCGCAGGGCTTCAGTTCTAGTGGAAGTAGTATCTTGTCTCATTTGATAAGCAGATCAGAGCACACCTAGTTAAAATTGACCACATTCTGGCCAAGTACTAAACATTGCCCCCTGCAGGCAAGGCCAGCCTCTGCAGATGACTGGCCTGAAGGATAGAGCAGCCAAAACACAACTGAGCGCACACAGCACACATGAGATATTCCCTCAAGTGCCAGGCCCTGGACATCATGGGACCTCTTCTTCATAAAGCCATTACTCTCAAAAGCAGGAAACCTAAAGGGCTTTTCTAACACAGAGAAGAAGGCAGAGACCTAGAAAAAAAATGCCAAGACAGAGGAATTAATCCCAAGTGAAAGAATAAGTGAAACAGACATAAGTAACATGTCTGCTGGAGAATTTAAAGCAACAATCACAAGGATACTCACTGGGGTTGAGAAAATGAAAGACTCTGATCAAAATCAAAAGCAGTCCAACACCAAGATACATTGTAATTAAACTTGCAAAATATACTAATAAAAACATCTTAAAAGCAGCAAGACAAAAGAAGTCCCTGACTTAACAAGGGAAGACCCATAAGGCTAGCTGCAGCTTTCTCAACAGAAACTTGGCAAGTCAGAAGGGAGTGGCATGATGTATTCCAAGTGCTGAATGGGAAAAATCTACAGCCAAAAATAGTCCAGCAAGGCTATCAGAATAGAACAGATAAAAGAATTTCCCCAAACAAAAATGGGGAAGTTCGTGACTATTAAACCAGCCCTGAAAGAAATATTAAAGGGAGTTCGTGACTATTAAACCAGCCCTGAAATAATTATTAAAGGGAACTGAGTAGAAAACTCTCCAGAAACGATGACAAAACAAGTATTAAATGGCACTAAATGCGTATCTGTCAATAATTTCTCTGAATGTAAATGGAGTAAATACTCCCATCAAAAGACATAGGGGGAGTGGGTGCCTGGGTGGCCCAGTTGATTAAGTGTGTGACTCATTAATCTCAGGGTTGTGAGTTCAAGGCCCGCATTGGGCTACACGCTGGATGTGAAGCCTACTTAAAAAGCCAAACAAAAATAGGGTGTCAGAATGGGTAGAGAAACAAGATCCATCTATGTGCTGCCTACAAGAGACTTATTTTAGACCTAAAGACACGTGCAGATTTCAAGTGATGAAAGACTTGGGATGAAAGACACGGGATGAAGAAACATTTATCATGCAAATGGATGTCAAAAAAGCCAGAGTAGCTGTACTTGTATTCGACAGACTTTTTAAACAGAGTGTAATGAGATGAAGAAGGGCACTGTATCATAATATAAGGGACAATCTAACAAGAATATATAACATTTGTAAATATGCCCCCAACATGGAAGCAACCAGATATATAAAATAATAGTCATAAAGGAATTCACTGATGAAGTGAGCCTTAATGGAGGAGTTAAATATTGCAGGTGTTTCAAATAGCATGAACAAAAGTACATGATAGGATTAATATGTATGGTGTAGAAGACTGTCAGTGTCTACCAGTTAGGAAACATGGGGAAGGCATACAGATTAGAAAGGTGGTTTGGGGCCACAGAGTGTTACAGTGATGTTTTTACTCTGTAGATAAGCTGTTGTGAGAGTATTCTGAAATTAGGTACAGCTATCAAGACTCAAGGTATCTAGTTTGTTTTTCAGTTAGCACATGAGAAACAGTGGTCCAGATACAATGAGTCACATCCCATAGCCTACTATACAAACTCGATTTACCGTCTGTATTAGAAATGTACTTGGAATGGTGGGAGAGACGTCAGGCCAGCAAGGATCCTGTTTTAATCTAGTTGGAAAATCTCAAGGACCTCAACTAACAATAGCAGTAAGGGTGAAGAGGAAGTTATGGAAGTGAGGAATTTATGAGGGTAAATAGGATTTGGCAAGGAAGGGAAGAAGGAGGAAGTTGAAGATAACCATAGTTTTTAATCTGGGTTAATGGGAGAATGTTGATACCTTTATCAAAAATGGAAACTTCTGTTTTGTAAAACTGTGTGCAGTTAGATTTGAAATAAGTAGTCTGATTATGACCTCCTTTTAAGGTTCAGTATTTGGAAAAATCAAGTTGTTACAAAAATTTGAGGAATGTTATCTTAGCTAGCTGCATTCCAGACTTTTAAAGCCCTAGCACTGCTACCCCTGCTGATTGTAGGTAGGGCTCTTATACTTCATTTGTAGTTGAGAGTGTCTAGCACCAAGTCTGCTTGTGGTAGACAATCAGTAAATGGTTATTAAATAATTGATTCTAATTTGTGGCCCAGTAATCCCAAGAGTAAGAGCTGGTCTTTTGAGAAACACTAATAACCTTGATTTTAAGAAGAGAGCCGAGTCTCTGGTTTATGGGACAGTATTTCAAAGCTGACAGCATATACTTACAAATGTACAAAAAAAATGTACATACAAATGTGTAAGTATGCATTTTTAGGGTTATAAGGCCTAAACATTATACTAGAATTCCATCTGGTCTATCATTCCTATTAGGGTAGTGTATATAAGCTCTTTGAAGAAACCTACTTTGTTGAATATGCAACATACCCTCTTGAGAGTGATGAGGTATTTATCATACCATGAAGAGACAAAGTGGGACTACTATAGGGGGACTAATATAATCTATTTTTCTGAAATATTTGGTTGACTTATGGTCTTTAGTTTTAGGTATGGTAAGAAAATTTCTTTTCACCCAGAGGAATACATGTATCTACCTGTTGATCTAGCTACAAAATTTAGGAGCCTTTGGACATACACAGGATCAGTTACTTATGCAATTTAAGATTTAAATAACCGAGTTCAGTGTGTTCTTAGCTTTATGAACAGATGGATTAATTCTAAGTCACTTGCCCAGTGGCCCAACCGCTCATTTTAAAATGAGCAGTGTTCGTTTGCGTAAAGAAATTAAGGTAAGTTTTACGTGTTCCTTAATTGGCATTGGTCTCCTTGCAGTTTTTGATTAGTAAACTCTGTAACTTATATAGATCTAATTGCTTTTATAATGGCCTTTGCTTTCCTGGTTAAAGCAAGTTTTATCTACCAGTAGTTTTCTTATGAGATTGTAACTGAGTTGTGGCAGACAGGCAATAATAGCCTTCATTACTCTGAAACCAGTTTCTTTTCTAGTAGGACTTTGGTACAGCCACTACATGTTAAAGTTATTTTAGAAGTATTATATTTCATGGAATTGATATTATCTGTGGTAATTGATCATTAAGAAAGATACCTTTAAAGTTTATCAGTTTGTCAGGTAAATCCTGAAACTCGAACTTGCAATAAGGATATTAATTCCTTAATGTGATTTTTTTTCATAATTTTTCTAGAGAAGAGGTAAAGACCCTACAGAACACGTACCAGAAATAATTTTGAATAACTTCACAACACGGCTGGGTCATTCTGTGGGACGTATGTTTGCATCTCTCTTTCCCCATAATCCTCAGTTTATTGGAAGGCAAGTTGCCACATTCCACAATCAACGGGACTATATCTTCTTCAGATTTCATAGGTGAGGAAGGTTCTTTAACTCCATGGACTCTGATTTCAATTATGAAATACATTTTCAACATAAAATGTTTTCTAATGTATTGTGACAAGTATTGTAGATGAGAAATAAGTATCTTTTGAACTCTGTCATATTAAAGAAATTACATTTGGCTTATTCAGACTGTTTTCCCTAATTCTTTATCTTTGAAGGTACATATTCAAGAGTGAAAAGAAAGTGGGAATTCAGGAACTTGGACCACGTTTTACCTTAAAATTAAGATCTCTTCAGAAAGGAACCTTTGATTCTAAGTATGGAGAATATGAATGGGTCCATAAGGTATGTGCCTTATTCTTTGAAGAGCCATTTATATCATTTCAAAAGTATAGAATGAGAAGGAAACTTTGTACTTTAAGCTTTGAGTGCTTATACCTTGTGTTTCTGACCTCCACGAGCTTGAAAGAACCAATCTCTGATAAGGTATTTGGGTCTGATGACTAACACTGGTTCATTTGAAGTATCCTAAATTAGATCAGTGGTCCTCAAAGTGGGACCACCACTGTTAGAAGGCAAATTGTTGGGCCATAGACCTACTCAATCAGCAACTTAGGGGCCTAGCACTGTTTATCAGCGTTATGATTCTGCTGTATATATGAAAACAGCTATAGAGGTTTCATAGAAGTTTGGAGATCACTTTAAGTCCTAAATGAAAACTTAAATATTTTAAAACCCATCTCTTTTCTAATAAGCCATATTTCACCTAAGTACTTACTTTAACATTTTATATATCATTACACACACACACATACATATTAGAACAGTAACTTCTAAAGACTATTCAGTCTCAGAGATGGACCCAGAGGTTTTTTTTTTAGCATTGTTTACTTTTTTTTTTTCCTTCTAATTTTCAGCCCCGGGAAATGGATACAAGTAGAAGAAAATTCCATTTATAAAGTACTGAAGGAATAGTATTGGATTGTGCTACAACAGGGCCTCTTGGATTTCAACTCTGGCATCTTTTCAAAATGGCATCTACTGGTTGGGTTTCATAAACCTTTCATGTCTGGACAAGTGCCATGAATTATCTTTCACTGTTTATGTAGCAAATACAAATAAAAGTCATTTTGGTGAGTTTAGAAATTGCAGTTTAAGAGTCCTAAAATTTAATTCTCTTATTTCTAGGGATTGTGAATAAGTTGGAATCAAGATTCAAAGTAAGTTTCTCATGTGTACTTTCATGGAACATTCGGTCTGGAGAAAAAATACAGTCCTTGGTAGATACTGTGTAACCCAGGGGCTTTCTACCAGAATAAACTTGGATCTGGCACATCTTTGGAGGCCAGGTTTCTGGGATATTTTAATATTTCTTTAAGCCTTTCAGAATGGCAAATTTTTTTTTTAATTTTTTTTTTTCAACGTTTATTTATTTTTGGGACAGAGAGAGACAGAGCATGAACGGGGGAGGGGCAGAGAGAGAGGGAGACACAGAATCGGAAACAGGCTCCAGGCTCTGAGCCATCAGCCCATAGCCTGACACGGGGCTCGAACTCACGGACCGCGAGATCGTGACCTGGCTGAAGTCGGACGCTTAACCGACTGCGCCACCCAGGCGCCCCCAGAATGGCAAATTTTTAAAGCAAAATGGTTTACCAAGGACTTAAGGCAAAATTGCAAATTACTGAAGCTAATCTTCAGTTCCATTTTTCTTGGTACTTTGTACCTCATTACATCATACTGTAATATTCCACTCAAGAATTGTGTAAAACTCTGAAGTTTTTAACATCTTCTAATATTCCCATGTCTTTTCTCTACTGTCCTTATTAGGAGAGCAGTCTATTAAGTAATTAATTTTTAGGTGTAATGGTAATACCCTACATAAGGGAGTTTTTTAGTATTTCTCATTATTAAATAACTTTTATTAAAACAAAGTTAATCCTACAAATGACTCATGTGTAGAAACTAGTATTAGCAGCCTCCTCCTGACCTTGAAAGAAAAAAGTTTGCAACTTATCTTTAATTCTCTAACAGTCTTTCATATGTATGGTATACAATTATGTGAGATGAGCTGTAGAACAAGCCCTAAAACATAAACCTCTTCTTAATGACATTGAGAAATTGCCATTATCTTATGTGTTCAAAACAAATTAATACATAGTATATTCAATACCAGTAATTAACCAAAAAACTTTTACACTAAGTATTTTATTGTATGTGGCTGCCAGTGTATATAAAATAATTACCCTTGTGAAATAGAAATTTATGAAAATTCAGAGAGGTAGATGTTAAGGACTGACAAAAGTAGAAGTTTATATAGTATGGCACGTGTTATAGGGATAAGCTTTCATACAGGCTCCAAATTTAGTTCTCCTTTGAATATGCACTGGTTCATGAAAAATGGTTTAGAAAACCTGAAATGGAAAAGAAAAGAGTAGATTAGGGGAAAGGACCAAAACACAATAGTTTTTTCTGAAAAGTAATACATCTTCTATTACTTTGAGGGCATTCATTTGCATGTTAGCTTATACAATGCTTTCAATTAAACCAAGCCTTTTAGGAAGCAGACATATCACAGGGTTTCAAGGGAAAAAATGAGAAATAGATCTCTGTGGTATATAAAATAGAATTTTCTCTTAATTTTCACAACCACTCTGAAGTACAAATCACCCATGGTTTATAAAAAACAGACTTCTAGATTAACTTGCCAAGATCACTGCCAAATATACTCTATATCCTAATTTTTAAAAGTTAACATAAAAATCTCTTAAATTCAGAAAAATCTGAATATCCCTAGAAAATAAGCAATAGCATTGAGGAGAGCAGTTTGATAAATTCTACTAAGGTAGAAGATGCAATCCCACTTCTATTTACTGTAGAGGCCACTTTTAGGCAAACAGGCTTGAGCCATGGAATGTAAAAAGTGCCCACATGGATCCCCTGCCTGGATACACACAGGCCCATCAGGCGATCCACATTAAAATATCCTTAGGCCCTAACTAACCAATGGGCTACTTACAACTAGGCACAGTTACCAAAAGGAAGATTCCATACATCGCCTCATGTTCTCCCTTTAAAAACAGCCCCTAACTGCTTCCTCGTTGCAGAAAGCCTCTCCTTTGCTGTCCTGCCCAAAGCTCCCCCTAAGGTGTATTCCATTCCCACTGCCTCATGGCACAAGCCTTTCTGCTGTCCTGCCTTCCCGGTCCCTTAAGGTGTATGCAGTAAATTTCTATCTCCTTTGTTCTGTCTTGGGTAAATTCTTTCACCTCCATCACCATCAACTTCCACCCGATCACTGCCTCACATGTGGAGGCCCCCATTCAACTGGACAGACACCCCACTTAACATTTACCTAGATAAACCTATACATAAAGTGAAACATACATGGATGTTGACTATCGTGGTGTTTTAAGAGGGAAGAACTAGGAATAGCCTAAATGTAATTCGGCTGGGGAATGGATAAACAAACTGAGGTTTATACACACGTTGAATACTAGAGATAGAGAGCAGGTAAAACAATCTACAAGGATCAACACAAATCTCAAACAATAGTTGGTCCTTAAAAAACAGTAACTATGTTTTAAAACTACAAAACACAAGAAACGTAGTAAAAAGTAAAAACATGGGTATACCCACTTCAGAGTAAGTTACCTATACAGAAAGGTAGAAAAAGTGTCTTTTATTTCTTTTTGAAAATTAGTAACGGGGCGCCTGGGTGGCTCAGTCGGTTAAGCGTCCGACTTCAGCTCAGGTCACGATCTCGCGGTCCGTGAGTTTGAGCCCCGCGTCGGGCTCTGGGCTGATGGCCCGGAGCCTGCAGCCTGCTTCCGATTCTGTGTCTCCCTCTCTCTCTGCCCCTTCCCCGTTCATGCTCTGTCTCTCTCTCTGTCTCAAAAATAAATAAACGTTAAAAAAAATTAAAAAAAAAGAAAATTAGTAAGGTAAACTAATTCAGGATGGTAGATATATGGTTCTCTATACTTATTTGGAAATTTCTATTGTCTTAGAACGAGAATGTTCAAGAGGCTTAAACAGAATGGTGAAAAAAAATGTTTAACCTCAGTCAGTTAACATTTGAATTACTAGATCAGTAGAAAAACTAGAAAAAACTAGATCAGTAGAAAACAGTAGCAAATAGGCTGAGGTCTGTTTGGCAAGGGCTCAAGAGAAAGCACTCTTGAGCTCCATGTGGAAAGTTTGTTCCCAGTTAGCAAGTGTTATTAAATTTTAAATGTCATTCCTTACTGAATAATCTTACTTCTAGAAATTTATCTTAAAGAAAACAGGTAAACTATACATAGGACTACCAAGATATTTGCCTCAGTGTAGCAATATTTAATGATGTTTAAGCTGTATTAATGATGTATAATACAGCCACTAAAAATTTCATTTACAAAGAATTTTTAATGAAATAAAGTTCAAGGTTTTTTTTAATTTTTATTTTTGAGAGAGAGAGAGAGAGCATGAGAGGGGGAGGGGCAGAGAGAGAGACAGAGAGAGAGAGACATAGAATCCGAAACAGGTTCCAGGCTCTAAGCTGTCAGCACAGAGTGAGGCTCAAACTCACAAGCCGGGAGATCATGATCTGAGCCGCCCAAGTCAGATGCTTAACCAACCGAGCCACCCAGGCATCCATAAAGGTTTTTTAAAAGCAGAATAAAAACTGTACATACTCACTGTCTGTAAACCAGCATATAAATTTTTTTCCCTCTTAAAAGGAAATCTAGATTAATAATGATTGTCTCTAGGTCTGCTGATCATGGTCTTTGTATTTTCCTTGTATTCTAACCTACTGCTAAGTTATCTATGCTGTCTTTCTTTAAACTATATATTTTTAAAAGACATGAATATAAAGACTCAAATATAGAATCTATGTATCCCGGCCATTCAGTGTGGGCCCAGGATGACCAACATCTGTATAACCTGGGCATCTGTAAGAAATGCTTCAGCCCTATGCCTGGGTGGCTCAGTTGGTTGGGCATCCAACGTCATGGTTCATGAATTCAAGCCCTGTGTCAGGCTCTATGCAGACGGCTCAGAGCCTGGAGCCTACTTTGGATTCTGTCTCCCTCTCTCTCTGTCCTCCCTCACTTGTGTGCAGTTACTCTCTAAAACAAACATTAAAAAGAAAAAAAAAATCCTTCAGCCCTTAGAATTTAGACCTACTGAATTTGAATTTGCATTTTAACAAGGTAATTTGCAGATACATTCAAGTTTGAGAAGAAATACTTTTACATCCAAACATCCTTTTCTTGGCCCAAGGTGTTTAAAATCATATCCATAAACCTGTTTTATTAAACTGCCAGGATTAGTAGCTGTTATTTTACTTTGAAATCCGGGTTCTTATCCTAGCTATATTATAATTTTGAGCAAGTCATTTAAACACTTATCTGCAGACTCCTACAAAATGAAACTGTTAACAGCCAGGTAAGAAGCCACGTTTCTTTTTTTTCAACGTTTATTTATTTTTGGGACAGAGAGAGACAGAGCATGAACGGGGGAGGGGCAGAGAGAGAGGGAGACACAGAATCGGAAACAGGCTCCAGGCTCCGAGCCATCAGCCCAGAGCCTGACGCGGGGCTCGAACTCACGGACTGCAAGATCGTGACCTGGCTGAAGTTGGACGCTCAACCGACTGCGCCACCCAGGCGCCCCAAGAAGCCACGTTTCTTAACAGTATTTTACATCAAATGAAAATAAACCACTTTATAAAGTGAATACAATGGGGAACAGAGGTTTAAAAAGAATCTTTAATAAGCCATAAAAATATGAAATACCCAAAAACTGCCATGAAGAATTAATATTGCTGAAGCAAAGAACTATTAACTATTAAATACGAACATGTTAGGCTGTTAAAAAAAAAGCTACTTCCTTATGGAAAACCTGTTACTCAAAGGTGGTTTCTGGTGTTTCAAAATCTTTACCAATCATTGTATTTACTGGAAGCATGCTGACTTCCTGGATACTCCCAAATCCACAAAGCTTAATTAGGGAGGGCACCAACTATGTAACATGGTATTTTAAGAAGCTGGCTTCCTGCACTTTGAGGAGTTAGAATGTTTGTAAAGGGTGTGTGCCATAGTCTTTCTTTTTTTTTTTAAACACTATTAGTTTGGTTGCTTCTCATAGGTCAATATGAGTACACCCTCTGAGTTAAGTACTGTGAATTTATAAAAGGTAGCAGCACCCTTGGATTACATATTAAATTATCCACAGCATGTTTTTTTGGTCAAATCTCTCTTGGATTAACATTATACAATTTTGCACACGCTGACACTTGAAATGGAAGCTACAGATTAACATATGGATACATGCTTTAAACCAGCCCAT